CTGGGAGGCGTCAGCGTGCCATCTGTGACGCGCAGGTGAGGTGCAGGCTCACCGCGCTGAGCTCCTGTTCATGTTCAGCTTCTGGATGTAAGCTGCGCTGTCTGTGAGGGTGTCGGGCTTTGTAGTGATCATTGATCAGATTCATTGATCGCCGTCGTGCTCCAGGGTCCTGTGAAGTCACGTGGGTGCGCGCCGTCTTCGGACGCCCTGCGCCCTGGAATGGACTCCTCTTCGTTGCGTCTCCATCACGGCTGAAGTTTAATGATGGAACCTCTTATCGGGGGAGGGGGGCGTTCCTTTACCGGACGCCGAGCTGTATGATCGCTCGCCGTCCCCTGCGCACTATTTTCTGTGACTCCTTTTTTTTTGTTGTGTTTACTTGTTAGGAGTCATTTATAGATGGCGGCGCTCTCTCTGTATCTATGGAAACGGCCCCCGGAACGCGGCTCTTATCCCGCTCTGCCCTCCCGCCGTGTGTGCCATCGTTCCACCTGACCGCCGCGTAACGAGCTCCCCGCCAGCTGTTTAAATCGCCATTGTTCTACCTACCTAAAGAGAGGCCCGTCCGGCGTTCTCCTCGCCATGGCCCTCGGCTCCCGGCGCCCCCCCGACCAGCTATCTGTTTGGTCATTTTTGTACAATTAGCGACTTGTTGTAATTGGCTCTGTGAACGTATAACGAGCCATCGGAAGCGGCGAGAGGCGGCCAATGTTGTCATAGCGGCACGCAGCGCGCGTATTTAACCCCCCTGCGAGTCCCCCATCTCCGTCCGCCCATGTACTAATGTGCGCTCGCCGTGCCCTAAGCAGCAGCACAATGGCGGCGCGCACATTACGGACGCGCTGATGTTAATGGCGGCCTGTGTTTTATTCATGATCTCGCTGTGGCCCGCGCTCATTATGGGATTTTGTAAGTGGGAAGCCGGCGATATCAGTGTGGATGGCGGCGGCGCAGGAGGGGGCGGGCGCAAAAATGGCAGTTTTCTGTCTGGTTTAAAGTGGACCTGTCATCACCTAATACACCACATCCATGAATATATCCCGGACCTCCCGCAATGCACAGGATCATCGTTCAGGAAATCTCCGCCTCTTATCACTAAAGAGCCGCCCCCGAGCTCCAGTCAGTGACTCCGCCTAGGCTGAGGTGATGTCATCAGTCTGCTGCAGGCAGGAGGAAGCATTTCCTAAGGCCTTGTTCACACCGAGCGCGTTCCAGGAGCGGAGCAGTTACAGACCGGATCAAAACTGCGTCCAATGTATTCCAATGGTGTTTTGGGTTCTAGTTCACACCGCAGCGTTCAGTGCCAGAGCATGCAAAAAAAAAAACTGCAGCAAGCCCTATTTTACCTGCTCTGGAACGCATGCAAACGCATCAAAACGCCCTGGAACGCACTGCCCCGGGGCCCCGGATTGCACACCGGGCGTCTAAGGTCTCATGTCTGGGCAGTAGATAGTCGGGGGAAGGGCAGGATTATTGACATGTTCCTCTCCCCGTTGCCCGGTGCCCCCCCCCCCCCCATGTGGGGGGGTTGGGGGTTATACAAACCTCGCACCTCTCTGCACGCTGAGCATGTCCTCCGTCCCGGAGCACAATTGAGGCATTTATATAAAGTTCTCGTTTTCCGGAGCGCGGCGAGCAGCATACGGGAGCGCCAACAATAGCGCTGTGACGGCGAGACAAAGACACGCGCCGGTCTTCTGGCGGCGGGAAGTCATTGAGGATTTGATGATATTTCTTGTGCGCGGAGACGGAAGAATGGAGATCTTTGTGTTTGTTTTCTCTCTTGTGATGCGTCCGCCGGACCCTTTGGACTAGAAAGCGTTTTAACCTCCGTTTGGACTGGATGGCGGCGGCGGCGGCGAAGCGCCGTCTCCGGACATCACAAAGCGATCTTTTATCTCTGGCCGGACCTTCCGCAC